ATTAGGTTCATCTCCATCACCGTGCCCTTAGATCCCATCCTCGTCGCCATGTCTCGGACGGCCAGAGCCGACTCGAGGTGATTTAGAAATTACTCATTCACTGGGCGGCTGGTGAATGGAGAGGCAAAAACTTTACTTATGCCGCTTGTAGCCGCGACGCAGACGGTCCGGTCGTTTGAACAACTATGTGAGTTGTTCCAGCTGGCAAGGCTCAAGCCAGTCAATCCGTCTACCAATTAAGCCGGCGGGGAAAGGGTACGTCGAGGATTGCGCTCGGCGACGGGGAGAAGAATCGATAGGTGATCAGTCTATCGATCAGCTCAGCCACAAGTCAGATCTCTTTAGAGGCACTCTGCAGCGTGCCCAAAGTTCTCCAACTTGGGTGGAAGTCTCACAAAATTTTAAACGGCTAGCAAGCCAATTACTAGCCGCCACGTAGGAATAATTTAGAACTGGCCAATAGCGGGACACAAATTTGCATTCAAATGGCGGGAACTCTCTTGCACCGGGGTTTTTCTGTTGCAACAAAAAACTTTGCTGTGCAAGAGGCTCTCATGTGACAGGAAAATTCCATCGTGCCGAGGCACCAAAATCACTGGGTTGTGACAGCTTCCACTGCTGGAGTCAGTTCATTAAGAGCTAGTTCAGATACCTGCACAGTACTGCCGTGTGCAGTAGCAATACCCTCTCTTGGTCTCATCTTACATAGCTCCCATTACGAGGGTACCTGAACACCAGTTGAAATGATAATTTCACTCCTTCTTCTTTCTTCCAGTCAGCAAATCAAACTATGTTTTCTCTGTACAATTTGTTTAGCTTGGAGTGTATCCATGATTTATTAAAGACTGTTTTTTCTGACTTCTAAAGGTTAAGTACTGAAGCAGGCATATTGTCTAAGGCCTCAGTCTTACAGGTGAACCCTTTTCATCATATAGAGTCCTGGCGAAGTCAGTGGGGAGGTATTGTGTACAGTATTTTGCAGCTGCCACTATTGCTTGAATTTAATCATGTGTACTGGAAATGTAGCTCCAAGTGGCCTACACACCATTGTTTTACTCGTTGACTGTGAATAGATTCTCTGGGTGCTGGTCTTTATTGACAGATAAGGTTCTTTGGGTGAATCTGATATCTTTTATTAGACCAACTTAAATAGTTGGAAAACAATTATAAAGCAGCTGAGTAGGTTAGGATTCATAGTCTTCATGGGGAAAGCATGCTGCTGGATTGTCTTGTTTTCATTTATATGGAGGCTGGCACCGAGTCAGCAATACTGGTGTCAGAATTAAATGTAAATGTAAATGTAACTAAATGTGCTGGAAACCATTAAAATAAAATAACAGGGACTGAGAGCAAATTCAAGAAGTAGCTGAATCTGCACTTTTCAATATGACCCAGGACAAAGAATTATACAAAATCAGCTTCCTCCTACCTTCAAGTGTTTATGAGTTAGAACTCTCTAAAAATAAACTGCTATGAAGTTTATGACACAAGGGACCACCCTAAGAAAGCAATTTCTTGAGTGATGTCAATTGGGAAAGAATGATGATGAAAACCAAAGCAACAAACAAGTACTGTGTTTTGTAC